TCACACACCTTGGCCGTGTTGTCAGGAGTCACACACCTTGGCCGTGTTGTCAGGAGTCACACACCTTGGCCGTGTTGTCAGGAGTCACACACCTTGGCCGTGTTATCAGGAGTCACACACCTTGGCCGTGTTGTCAGGAGTCACACACCTTGGCCGTGTTGTCAGGAGTCACACACCTTGGCCGTGTTGTCAGGAGTGTTCAATCCTTTGAAAAAGACCTCATGACGGGAAAGGGGAGAGAATGGAAGTTCCTCAGCACCTGGACTGACACAGAGGCTGTCTCGGAGCAATAGACTTGAGCAGAGATCTTTGTTCACAGGGTCACTATGGATGATAGTGGATTCACAGCACTTTGACCTCCTCCAGGGCTGCTGTGAGTTGGAAGTGACCAGCTGCAGGCCGTGGGTTTGGCTTTCTGAAGCCAGCTGCATAAACCTTTTTAACAAGCACTAAGCAATGTTTATCTATGTTAGTAATCCTGCTTTTTTTTTATAGTTGCATACAAAATCCATGTACATTGTGTTTCACACTTTCTTTTATTCACATTGTATTTCATACAGTCATTACTATGTATTGTGTTTTAGTAATTGTCTTCTGTAAAAGAGCAAGGGCCTCATGGGAACAGCCATGTTTGACCTTTACCAACTTCACATAGGGGAACTGTCCCCATCAACAGTGCCAATGGCACAAACCCAATTCCCATGAGGTCAGAGATGTCCCCCACACTTCTGTACCTCTTCTCATATTAACATCAATCTTACTGCTTTACTGGGTCCAAAGTCGGGTGCGATGGCTGACAGACACAGAACCATGTAGTAGAAGAACAGTCAGGACGGCTCCAGAAATGTATTCTTGCATCTCAGTCTTGAACCTCATGGCTTTAAAACAATGTTTCAAAGTTCTCAGTCATGCCAATTACAGCTCCTGCCTGTTCCCAGTTGTCCAACAAACTCAGGCAGAGGCTCTTAGCTCCAGTTCCAACCTGTAGCAATCCCAAGGTCTCATCTCAGTCAAGTCTCTAGTTCGGCCGTTACTGCTCTTTTTCTGGTGGTGAGATTTATTTGCTGATTGTGGGGCACTCTCTCCTGCTGCTGCTCGGTTGCTCAAATTAATGGTGAGACTAGCCAATCCTCTTGTTAACTGGTAGATAGGCCATCCCCTGATGAAAATGCTAACACACCCTATTTGTATATTTCTGTCCACTGACATGCTCAGTCAAACTAGGGCTAGGAAAACCATATTGAAAAATAAACTCCACACTTTTTTGTCATCCCAACGATAATGTTACCAGAAAACTGTGCTTCTGCCACTTACTACCAGAAAAAACAATCTTGGAGATAGAGGCTAGAGCAGAAAAAGAATTATGCTAGTGTATCAGTGACATGAGGTATGAAATTCCCAGATTTGTCTTGAGGAAGAGAAGGTTCTGAGGGAATTCTCGTAGGGGAGCTTAAGGGCTTGAGGAAGAGCTCGAGTTTATTCAGCTCTGCGAGAAGTGGGGTTGTCTTAGGAAAGGAGAGATGATGCAAACCAGTGGGCACAGGCACTAATGACGTCTTCTTAGAGAGAGGTTTAGTCATCGAGGAGTATGCTCTTTCAAGATGGCTTGCAGGTGATATTAATGGTCTGACTTGATAATTTCTGCATTCTGTGTTTTGGGAATGGGAATCAATATGGGCCTCATCAATATGGGCCTCTTCCAGCCAGTTGGTCAGGTGGCTTGTTTTTAAACCTTCTTGGCACATACTGAAGAGTATGTCCAGGGCTGCATTCATTTGTTGAAACATGTCAAGTGGTAACCTCTTAATTCTTGAAGCCTTATTCTTCTGCTACAGGCTTTAGTGCTGCTGATGTTGTTGTTGTTATGTGCCGTCGAGTCGTTAGAGACTCATAGCGACCCTATGCACAACAGCCCTAAACTCTGCTCTGTCCTGTGCCAATCGCACTGCCTCTGACACACCCATCCCGATTACCCATCATCTTCCTTTCCACAGGCTGCGGGGAAAGGAACACCCCGTCCTGGCTGTGTTTGCTGCTGCTCTTGGCTGGCTGTCTGGGCTTCTACAGGTGAGGACAGGCACAGCCTGGGGGCACAGCCACTGGCTGACTTTGAGCTCACTTGGATTTATTTGTCCACACAGTTCTCCGACATGCCTATCCCCGTTACCCCAGTCACAATCCATGAATCAATCCATCTCATTGAGGGTCTTCCTCTCCTGTGCTGTCCCTCCACCCTCCCAAGCATGATAGGACCCCCTAAACTCTAGGTCACCTGGATACCCTGGTCAAGTGTCTCACCTGTGCTGTCAGGTGGTCCAGGACGGCTGTGGAGGACAAGCTGACCTCACAAGTGGAGGTGGGGCAGCCAGGTGGACCGAGGAGCACTGTAGGGATGAGGACCAGTACTTGCCTTCCTAGGCCTCCCTTGAGATCACGACACAGGGGCGTTGGCCACCGTGCGTTAGACCTCAGGAAGGACTCACATTGCAGAGTGAGATGAGAGACCTCGGGACAGGCAGGGCTCACCTTTGAGTGCCGCCGTTCTGGACTCGAAGTTCAGAAATACGACGATTGCGTCTCTAACCCTGGCTGCTTGTTGTAGGGTGTCATTGAGTTGACTCGTTAGTTACTGTTGAGTGGGAACCGACCCCTAGCTGACCCTCTACTGGGTTTTCAGAGGCTGTAAATCCTCCAGGAGGGGCTTGTCCATCCTTCTCCCAGTGAATGGCTGGTGGATTCGAACCGCATGCCTTCGGGTTGGCAGCACAGCTCCTTACAACGAGGCCATGAGAGCTCCCTGTAACGAGTGACCTTATAAACAGATCTGACTGCACCTGGCCCGGTCATGCACCATCTTCATGATCTGTTAGGTCAAGTCCACGGTTACAGCTACTATGTCAAATAACTTTGGCAGCTGTGGTAAAATTAGATCACATCCCCCTTCCTATAATCCTGTCAGTTCATCGCTGGGAAGCTCGTGACCTCTTCAGGGAGGGGCTGGGGGAGGGTGACTGCAGAGGAAGCAGACAAGTGAGCGGGGGATGGGCGCCTGGGTCAGGGCAGAGCCCAGCAGGGCCAGCTGACTGGATGGGGAGATGGCAGCTGGCCCTGCAGAGGTCCCTGTGGTGTCTCCGTCTCTGCAGGGTCATCTCTCCTAAAGCCCAGGTCCTCAAGCCCACGTAAGTAGGGGTCTGCACCATGCTTGGTGGGTCTCCCCCAAAAAGTGTGGGAGTAAAGAGGGGAGGAGCTGATCCTAGAGACTGGCCACCACCTACACCCGTGTCACGTCCCCATTCCACATCTGGGGGACAGCGGCTGGGAGCTAAAGGCCCTGCAGCTGGTGGTGAACAGTCAGGATGGACCACGTGGTCCAGCTCAGGGCTAGTGTCCAGGCACACGCCGTGCTGGAGCCAGGTCAGGGGAGGGGAGGTTATGGGTGCTGGAGGCTCAGGCTCTGAGCGTGTGGTGGGAAGAGGACCAAGTTGGTTCTGGGGTCTCTGTCTGGTCCATGTCAACTACTGGTCACTTTGGACAAACCCTTCCCCTGTGGCCACCTGGCCCCCATCCAGCTCTAATGTGCTCTGGTTGGTCCCCACAGGCGGACGGATGTGCTGGTCATGACGCCCTGGCTTGCCCCCATCATCTGGGATGGGACCTTCGACTCCACCATCCTGGACGCACAGTTCAGAACCACTACCATTGGGCTGACTGTGTTCGCCATCAAAAAGTAAGTTCATGGGCAGTGGGGGAGCGAACGGCCCTCAGAGTGGGTGGGTCCTTCGGCCTAGGTGCCAGCTGCCCTCAGGGGAGGAGGCCCATGGGGATTGCAATAGGTGGACCTGCTGGCATCTCCAGGGTGCAGGAGGCAGCCCCTCTACCTGAAGTTCATCTGCTCCTGTCCCACTGTCACCTGGCAGCTTTTGCTGTTGATGCCAAGGTGTCCTGGTCCCCAGGCTGGGAGCTCTCTCCAGCCATGTCAGTAAGGGTGCTCTGTACCCCGTCCTAACAGGGAGGTAAGTGGAGGCTTATCCAGACCTCGGCACCATCCCGCTTGTCCCCACATGGACCCCGACTCCTGGGACCCTGTGTACATCAGACTACACTGTACTCTGTTGGGTCTGCGTGGGCTGGATTTCCAGAAGGAGACCACAGGCCAGCACTTGTGATCTTGGGAGGCAGGGCCCTGTGGTCACTTCCAGATCAAGATCCAGGGCCCTTGATGGACCCAATGCTGGCGAGTGGCAACTGTTGTCCTGAAGAGAGTCTGTGACATCAGTCATAAGTGGGTCACCAGGGCCTGTGACCACAGGACACTGGCCCCCAGCACGCCCAAGCGCAGAACACCGTCTAGACCATCTCTCCCTGGAAAATGTGACAAATACCTGCACAGTGACAGACACACGCATAGTGACACACACAGAGTGACAAGCACAGGCAGAGTGACACACACAGTGACACACACAGAGTGATGGACACACATAGAGTGACACACACCATGACACATACATACACAGTTACAAACACACATACAGGGATGAATATATACAGTGACACACAGAGTGACGAGCATAGGCAGAGTGACACAGTGACACTTGTACAATGACTCACACATACAATGACACACACATGCACAGTGACACACACATACACCATGACGACACACATGCACAGTGACACACACATACACCATGACGACACAC